TCTTCTTCTTCTTCTTCTTCTTCTTCTTCTTCTTCTTCTTCTTCTTCTTCTTCTTCTTCTTCTTCTTCTTCTTCTTCTTCTTCTTCTTCTTCTTCTTCTTCTTCTTCTTCTTCTTCTTCTTCTTCTTCTTCTTCTTCTTCTTCTTCTTCTTCTTCTTCTTCTTCTTCTTCTTCTTCTTCTTCTTCTTCTTCTTCTTCTTCTCCTCCTCCTCCTCCTTCTCATCATTATTATTATTATTATTATTATTATTATTATTATTATTATTATTATTATATACTCTAGTATGATTGTGATGTGGCATTTGGGGCACTGTGCTGGAGTAGTTTTCAAATTTCATTGTATTCGTGGAATGCAATGACAATAAAGGTATTCTATTCTATTCTATTCTATTCTATCCTATCCTATCCCATCCCATCCCATCCTATTTCTATTTTATAAGGCCCAAAAAGGTTAGCGACCATTGAATTAGGGCATCTGGCAGAACCCTGACAATCCTCATGGTTCTGTGATCAAAATTTATGCTGTGCAGGACTTATTAATATGGAGGGCTGAATAAAGCATGAATTCCCACACAGTACGCCATACCCGCTGGGCCGGTGAATCTCCACCTCAGAACCTTTCAGATGTGTGGACTTCAACTCCCAGAATTCCCCTATCAACTAACAGACTCCTCCCCCTGCAGCCTTTTGGGAAAGAGTCTCCAGAAAGCTTTTGCTTGCAAATCATACCAGAAAACAGTTGGAAAGATGTGCGTTTTTTTTTTTTTTTTTAATGCTCACTCCCACAAAGTCTGTTGTCTTCGAAGAGTTGGACAAGGTCGGTCTTCTTTGCCAGCTGCCTGGCATACGTCCAGGCATCGTCTGGAGAATCCTTTAATCCTGCCTGCAGGAGGAAATGCACACAGGGTGTGTGTTGTCGCGCAGAAGCCATGTGCAGCGCTGTGTGGGCAGAGGAAGCAGAGCATCGGTGAAGGTTGTGTGTGGCCCCACGGCAAGTCGAAGCCACGCGATTTCCATCGCGCTGGCTGTTATCAAAGTCAACATTTAATCTTCATTGATACAATGTTTATTTTTTATATTGATT